ATATTTTATTTAAAAATAAAAACATTATCATTTTTTTAAATCACATCATAACATTAAAATATATGATACCCTTCTAACTTTGTAAAAATATATATAAAAAAGTTGATGAAACTAAGACGAAGAGAAATAGTGAGGAAGTGTCCATAATTAGCAGAGCACACACCACCCTTTCTGAAACGACTTTTCTTCTCTTGACAAAGACCAAAAACACTTTGGAACAAACAAATACTAACAAACATCCTCAACAATTTCATTCCCACTACAATTCTTCAGATTCCGCCATGGATGATGACAGTGATCGGAGCTCTGAAGCAACTCAATTGGAAAATTTGACAACTGCCGGAAAAAGGCACGCTCACCACCACGCTGCTAAAGATTCCGGCACCGTAAATGAGGATGTATACGATGATGATGACGACGACGATGATGCCACTGATGATCAGAGAGAGGTTAGTGAATTAGAGAGTTCGCCTATGGAAATCGTCGCATATTCTAGAACTTGCCAATCTGAAACCCTAGTCTCTGGTATGTAGTACGATCGGTTCTTTCTAAACTGAATTGTGTTTTCTTCATATATTTATGCGTAATATGACTATTATGTATGTGCTTAGGCTTGGCGGAGGTACCGATACAATATGAGATGCGACAGGATGAGTTGGAGCACTTGAAGGTAAACCACTATTAGAGCTTACACATTCACTTGTTATTACCATTTCTTGCTGTTTTATAGTTTTATTTCAAAAGGAAACATATAATTGACAGGATAAATGCTATGCTTTGATTGTATGCATCTTCCTCAAATGGTGTCGGTACCGCACTGTTCTAAAAAGAAAAGGAAAAAACCCAAAACAGCATCTTTTGTTCTCTTATACCAACTTAACTCATTTTTGAAGTAGTATCTGTGAAATGTTATCAATTTTTTGCCCAAACATATAATCTACCTCTTATTTTGTGTACTATTCGTTACAAAGTTTGATATGATTGTCGATTTTCCCAAAGAGGTTTAGAATCCGCAACAAAGTTCTACTTGAAAAGCATCCTAATAAAAAATGTAACTCTTCTTTGGGAAGGGGAAGTATTATTTTTCTATGTTATGCATAAATTAAGTTTATTATTCGAACCTGACTTTTGAAGAGGAATCCTGTGCTGTATTGAAGTTTGGTTCTGGACTTGTGTGAATTGTTCTGTCACACTATGTATGAAAGATATACTCAAGTAAGCAACAACTACATGATAGGTACTTATAGCTTACTTTCCCACTGACCTAATATTGCTATTGTCTTACGTGTTGCGTGTTCAGTGGAAAAGCTTTATATGTTTGATGACTTCTTTAATTGGTTTAGGATTTGTCAGCTAACTTGATTGGACTACTTGGTGTGCAACTGGACAAGTTGAAAGAACAGGCTTTGTAAATAGGTAGAAGTGAATGTTATGTGTGGGGTTGTTATCTTATATGAAGATCACAAGACTTGTTAGGTATTGAATATTTAGCTTATCATTGACAACAAGAAGCATATATTGATTGGAACAAAGAATCCAAAAGAATGGGAAATGGTGAAAAATGGAATGGTCAATAGAAATGAGATAGGAATCAATTGTTTGGGTTGTGTTGGGGAAATTTTGAAATGCAATTTTGATTAAAAGCATCTTCTTTGCAAGAGACTGATGCAGAGTTTTCTTTCACCATTGCTACATCAAACAATATGTCGATAGGGCATCATTACCCTTATACCTAACCCAACTATTTCGTCAATATATAGCAACGCCACCCAATGTCCACTCACATATTTGTTTGGGTTTTTGCACCTCCAGTAATATTTCCTCCATTTAGTGTTTTCAGTATCCTGTTTCAGAGTCTCCAATTCAGCCATTTCTTGTTATCGCTTTCAGTGGTGGTTTTACGTTCATCCCCCTTCTCCATGTTGTTGGTGGATCCTACCGAATCACCACAAAATAATAAAGATAGTTTAGTTTGTCCACAAATTTATATTGTAGGGATGTATGAATTGATTTTCGAATGGCGGTTAGGTATTTCTTGAACCAGTTTTATTGCATTTATACTTTCTATTGGTTTTTGTTTGAAGTGAAGTATTGTGCTGTGAAGTTTACAAGGAAAATGCTTTGATGCAAAGTGTGTTAAGGTTGTAAGTTTACACCTTGCTACATATAGTCAAGCAGGAAGGCTTTTGTTTGTATATTGGTATCATAAGGCAATTATTAGAAGTTAGCAAGATTGTAAGTTAAGGAACTTCTGTTAATGAACTATAAGAATGCAATGATTGTTTCAGGGCAGAAGTGTGAGATTTGCTGGTCCTTGACTTCTCATTGAGACCATGACTTTCTTCTAAAGGGCAAACATATTTTGCAGCTAAATTATCACTGTCCTCTAGCCCGTTTCACTTTGATATCCAACCAACCCTATTAGAGTCTCCATGCTTGTTTCGACACACCATACCAATCTCAACTATTCCTTCACTTCGAGTACTTGAAAAACAGTTGAAAGGTCCCTGCAGTCCAAGTGGGGGTTGAGGGAAAGAAAATGAAAATGTTATTTTCATGTCAAGATATCCAGCCTTGAAGTCTCCATGCCTATTGATGCCAACAAACATGTGTGATTCATGTCCCAATAATGAGATCTTTTCACTGAAACTGTTATGTATTCTCTATGCCGCTGTATCACAGGATTTGACTAATGGCAGGGGTCATGCACCCCACCTTCTCCAACCAAATGTCATTGTTAACATTTTAGGGTTTCCTTCTTGGCCGTAGTCTTTAACCTCCATTAGAAGTAAATCAAATTGCTATTTTCACATCCCTTTTTTCTTTATAGCTGAACTACTATCACCATGTTTCAAATAGGTGTATGTCCTTAAACGTTACTATATATTGTTATGTTACTTGAAAATATTAACATGCTTTATTTACTTACTTGGTGCTGAAGTCATTTTCTCCATGAACCATCTGAAACCTAGAACTTCATCTGGAATATGTTTCTCATTTTAAATAGTACTTCGACTAGCTCATAATTTAAAAGCAACCTAGATTATACACTCTTAATGAAACAGCCTATGAAAATGATTATTTTTTTCCTTTTCTCCTTTGGTTTTGAATACTCTCTTTTTTTTGGATGCACTATATTATCTTCTCCTATCGGCATGTAGCACATTAGTTCTGAATATTTCTTTTAAATTACTAGGGCTGTACTAGAACTGCATTTAGCGGGAATTGAACAAACTCTAAAACTAAAAATTGATCATATTTGGATAATTCTGAGTTTCGCTTTTAGGTTTTGCAGGCATGCTAAGTCAGGAATTGTTTGTGACCTTGTTCGAATTTGTAACTTTGGCATTATCTTGTTCACAAAGTGCTTATAAGAGGAATACTTTTACATGCTATGTGTTCATGGTCATGAATCATGATACATGTTACTTTTAAAGTTTAATCCATTCCAATTAACATCTTGCATTTGGATGCATACACCCATTGTATATTTGGAATATGATTTGTTTGATTACAAAAGCTGTAGTTGTCTATCGTCACCCACTTGACAATTAGTGATAATTGCTTTTTAATCCAAGAGATGAAGAGAAGAAATCGTAAAGTGTGTGTTAGGATCATCCCCTGTCACTATTATCTGGGAAGTATTAGTGACCTGACTAAAGTTAAAGTATTACCACTTTTTATCCTGATAACAAGTATCATCAACTTATGTTTTTATAACAAAGTAACATCACTTGATTGATAGGGACGTGGACTAGTTCTATTTTTTATTTCAATGATTGAGGGTGGAAAAAGAGAAAATTCGTATGATAAATACCCTTTTAAGAAAAGAGGACGCTTCCTGACTTTCTAAAAAGGGAAGGTGGACATTTATTTCCAGAAGGTGGGAATTACTACTTTAGAAATGGACATCAAAATTGAACAAGACACTTTAATCAACTTTTAGTAAAGAAAGTTATGATTGACCAGTGACAGATAGGAAGTTTATTAACCTTGTAATCTTAATACTTGTAACCAACACGTGGAATAAAAAGAAGCATATAAGAATATAAACAAACACGAACTGTTTACATTTTACATATAACTCATGAACCATTTGAACCACAGTGAACTTGAACCATCCATGGGCATGTTCCATCGAATTGATTGAACACCATATCCTGTGCAAGTTGAATTTGACTAGTAACTCAAACCCAGCTTCATCCAGCTGTAAGACGGGTTGTCAATAGCTTCGCTGTTTACAATTTATTTTGAAGACCCAGGAACCACAACTTGTTTCATCAAATTGATTGAATGCGATATATTGTGCAAGTTTGAGTTTGACTAGTAACTCAAACCAAGCTTCATCCAGCTGTAGGACAGTTTGTCAATAGCTTGGTTGCTTACAATTTCTTTTAAGAGACCCAGGAACCACACTTGAGGAGGGTGAAACTTTTGCCACCTACCTATTAACACGACCCTGGTAAATAACTGGGTAATAGCTAAGAGTGGATTCAAACTATTAACCTCTGGTTTATCTTGAGAGAATCCCAATGACATGGACAACTGCTTGGTTGTTTACAGTTGTGTGTATATTTTTGTCTTGCTTGTTTTAAATTTTTTAAGTTAGTATTGTACTCAAGCATCCCTCTGAGGCTCTGACATTTCAAAATTCATAGTTTAACAATCTTCTTCTTGATGAATTGCGAGCATCGAAGTCCATATTCTTGCTTTGAGGTTTCAATTTCAGTATTTCATGATTTCTATTCATTTGTTCTAATCATTGTCTTCTATGAATAAATTTAACTTTATTTGTGCAAATATCTGTCCATATCTATGTTCCAATAAACTTCAATTATTTACCTTTTGCCACTTAGAATCAACTTCAAGGGAGTCACCAAGAAGCCTTAGCAATTGTTATAGCTCAGGCTGCTCAAGCTCATGCAGGGAGTAAGATTCAGTTACCTGGGATTCTATCTTCATCCTCAGAATTATCACCACCTTCTGTTGCACCAAATTCAAATCTTCCGAGATTAAATTCACAAGTAGAAATGCTCTCACCAGCAGGGAATGCTGTTAGCATTCGTGTGGCAGAAGCAGACCAGAAGATTACTTCTGATTCCAAAATTGTATCTACATCACGTACTGTCAAGACACCTATTGACGGGTACAACTGGAGAAAATATGGTCAGAAACAAGTGAAGAGTCCTCAAGGGTCTCGAAGCTATTATAAGTGCACATACACTGAATGTGAGGCTAAAAAGATCGAGTCCTGTGATCAATATAATTCTGTCACAAAAATAGTTTATAAAGGTCAGCACAAACATGATCCACCTAAGAAAGTGTTTACCAGGAGAGGCAAGATTTTATCTGCTTCTTCTAGAGCACAAGAACGTAAAATGATCTCTACATCTGGATCCAAGCAAAATAAATCAAGTGGCTCTGTCAGTAATGGTCCGATTTTAGTCGAGGAGATGGATGCACCACCGCCAAAACGAAGGCAAGTCACGAACATTATAGTTCTCTTTTTTTATCATGTTATGCAAAATCAGAATCTTATGATAAACTCTTACTTTCTATACTACCTGTTCTGCATCACCAGAGTAAAGAAAAGTAGCTCGACAAGTCCTGGTTCTGTTCTGAAACCTCCGAAAAAGCCCAAATTTGTTGTACATGCAGCCAGTGATGTTGGAATCTCAGCAGATGGTTATAGATGGAGGAAGTATGGACAAAAGATGGTGAAGGGAAATCCTCATCCCAGGTGCATCCTTGTTCATTTTAGTTTCTAGCACGAGTTACCATTGCCGGCTAATTTGAATTGGTTTGTTGGCCTGTGTCTATACAGTGCAAGTTCTACCTGGCTCCACTTTATTATATGATTTTAATTGGTTTCTATTGCAGTGTGAAATAAATGTGCTCTAACTACTTTTGGGCAAAGATTTAATTATATTTGACATGTAAGTTATAATTAAGGCTTAGGCACATAGTTGACTAGTAAATTACATGGCTGCAATACAGTTGTGGTGGCCATCTAAAAATTTTCTTGGTTAGCCTTGTTTGGAAAATAGAAGTTGATAAAAAGAAAAGAATGTAGTACCACTTTGTTCGTGCCATTTTTCCTCTCTTAATAGGAAAAATTTGAGTGAAAACAGACGCTGAAGAAGTTTCCCAAATCGCCTCTTATCCTCTAATTCAAAGTACTACTCACAAATAAGATCAGTGCTAGAGAAGAGGAAGATTAGTGTATTATTGGCTTACTCTTCTATTCTTAGCTCATCAAAAAGAAAATGACCTAACAGCCAACAGGCGGACAATTAATCCAATAAAAAGCCAAGCAGGAAGATCGTCTTAGCAGTTAATGGATAGGGTTAGTACAATAGTACTCAGAAAGTGTGACAATAACATGCAACCTTTTATTCCACTAGTTGGGGTAGGAATGAACCCGATTAGAAATTAATGAGAGTTGGACTCCCAAGGCTCCAAGATATGGATACCATCCTTCCATGCACTCTATCTTACGCCAACTCTTTTGGCTATTGATCTAAATATACAGTTTTATTGGGGAATTAGTGGCACTCTCTACTCATCTACAAGCATACCGATTTATTTTAGAGAAGGGTAGGATTTGAAGCTTAGCTGATTAATAGTGGATTGAGATAGAATGCTTTATTAGTTAGCTTTGCTATTCTTTTTGGTTACATAGGGAAAACTGTTGTGAAACATCTTTTAGAATTGTCATTCCCATGATGACGATCATTAATCATGTTCAACTTTGCAAAACTTGACTAAGTGCAGAATATAAAAACACACTTCATGGAAATCAGTCTCATTTCACCATTAGGGAGGACCCATTTCAATCTCTGTCATTGTTGATACCATATTTTAAACAGAGCATGGTGGAAACCGACACTTTTGCACTTAAGCTTTAGATTGATGGAATTAAATTATGGTGTTCTTTCTCTTATTCATCTGCATTTTCCTTTGAGAGAAATTGATAGAAACAGATATACGCTTGGTGGAACAATAAGAAAACTACCCCTTGTATACTTAGTTCAGCGGCTAATTCTTAAGTTATTCTAAAATATTACCATGCCCATTTTTAAACTAAGACTCGAACATCATAAGTTAGACAAGGACACGATATGTATTTCCAACAAAAGCATTTCGTGACAAAAGGTTGGAGCTTATGGACTAGAAGTATGGAAAACCTCTACTTGTTGGGTGAAACATAAGGGCATCTTAGACTCTTCTCTATGATTGCTAAAGCGTTGTGGACTGTGGCTGTTGAATTGAGATAAGATCTTGTTTGGAATGGAGGTGTTGGGCTTACCAATTTTATACCCCCCATTGAGGAGTGGGGAAAAGGAAAATATTGACACGTTTCCACTCTGGAGGGGCAGGGGATAGCAAACATGCAAAGTGAGGTGTTTTAATGAACCATTACTTTCTGTTTCTCTAAAGATCTGTGTGGAGGCGCAACTGAGCTAATACGAAGAGGTGGGGAAGCAGCCAGGTAAGTTTATCAATTGGGAGTTCCTATTTTCAGCTTCAGTACAGTAGTGAGCCTAAAGTACTTTGGCCAGTGAGCTGGATTACAGTTCTGTTTACTTGGCAAGAGTGTGCATATTGCATACTGTAGAGATGGTGGGTTCCTATTTTCTTTCTTTGATGTTCTTTCGTGTGCGGCAACTATATGGAGAAGTACAAGCCTGGGTTAGGTTTTATTTAGTATTGTTAGTGCTTGTCGAGCCAAGGGGTAGGGAGCTTTTGGTATTCTCATGCCCTATATGTTGTGAAGGTGCTCTTTGAAGAAGCATCAGCATTAGCATCAAACCTAACTATTTGCGTAATGATATATGTAATGCTCATTTTAGAGCTTATACATCCATGGTATATTCTGATGATCAAGGCAAATGTTGCTCCAACACTAGTTTGCTGTTAAGCTTACTGTATGTATTAGCTTGTGAGTACTCGGTGATCCATTATCTTATACTCCATCCATTAAGCACTGATACTTGAGTTAGGCTGCCATGTTTGGACCGCGTACGAATAGGATGGGGAGGGGGGGGGGGGKGGCTTGGGTGTGGCTGGATGTACCCATTTATCAAAATATAAATAGCAACTTGGGTTTGGCATGTGTGTGAGTGAGGTATCACTAGTTTTTTTGAAGGCTTTGGCTCATTATTAAAGCCATTCCTTTCTAGGTAAAAAGAAAATGAAGAACACTTCTTATATTTGGACATGTTTTATGTATATATTAGTGCTACAAACTTAAACTTCACACTCTGATTCTACAAGTAATTAGTCTTCACAAAAGTTCTTTAATTCTTATTGTTTCGATCTATTTTCTTATCCATACTCTTTCTTGTTCAGTTTTCTTAATATTTCTAAGTCCTAAGCTTGTTGTTTACTTGCTTGTAGATATGGCTTCCAAAATGAGTTTAGATAATATGTACTTTGATGAATTAGTTGGTAAACATTTAAATACGTCGATGATGTTTTTTTGTTAAGTCATTTTTTTCAGTTTATATGGTGTGTGTAGGTATATTACATTTACATGTATGTACGTGTCTGCAGAAAATCATCAAACCGATTATCGATAACAAAAGAATGCAATTTATAATGATATTGTTCATAAGGACAAAAAGATCATGACAAAATGCTGATATGTCATTCTTTATGATGTCTAAAATTTTAAATGCTCTCCCTATTACGTTGAAAGTAACATTTAAAATCTTCATGACATTGGCTAGGGTTTTTGTTGTTCTAGGGCTACTGAGAATGAGGGAGAGTTTTGCAGATCTACCATGATTTTTCACATACGAGCACCGGATGATTTCCTAATGAGTTCTTTAAAACAAGTTTGCTCTATATTTAGAAAGTAGGAGGTGCTTCTACCCCTTGTTAAATACCTACATATAAGCTTGGGAGTGCAATTCTTTTGGGATGTGGCAGGATATGCACCCCATTCCGCATTTACCTTGTGCCCAAATAGACATAGTTGACCATAAATATAAGGGGATGTGGGAAGTAAAAGCATGGCTTATTTATGTGTAGCTTTTATATGTTTAACCTTGAGTCCTGACATAATTTCTTTATTCTGTTGATTTGGTTTTAAACATCATATATACATGTATAGGGAAAAGTTCAAATGTGAACATAAATATTTTGTGAACCGTGAGAACCGGTATATGCGTTGATGCATTATACACCATCAAAATATGTATTTGTTCGTTAATTTACATATTCACCAAAGTATATGTACTGTATATGCGAGTATATCTGCATTCATGCATATAATTATTGACATTCGTATATTTGTATATAGATCAATGCATATATATGCATATGCTGGTTCTCACGGTTCACAAATATTTATGGTTCTTTTTTAAATCTCACCTACCTATATCATATCCACCTCAAGGGTCAAGTTAAGGGGAAAACCACAAAAAAATGAAAAAGTAAGGAACACGCTGGTAACCGTTCATCTAGACGGTATGCACATGTGCATACAAGTTGTAAGCAATTTGTCTGGTATATACATGTACATAAAATGCACATGTGCATTAAAACCAAGAAACAACTTCAGTTACTTGTATGCACATGTGTATACCTTCCACATGAATGGTTACTAGGGTGTTTCTCAGTTTTTCCTATTTTTGGGGTTTCTCCTGAACCTCCCTAAATATATTTAACTTCTTAGAATCTCCTAATCTTCATATCCATATATTATATGCGCACGTCACTGACCCATATCCTCACAATATATGTTGTACATAACAACTTTTTGGGAGTGGCAATCAAATGAAGGGAAATATTTGAATTTGTTATTTGGGAAGGGTGGAGAGGGAAAGGATATGAAATTAGAATTTTTATTTTGTGTTGCTAGGAATGATTATGATGGACTAAATGCTGCTACTGGGGTTCAACTTTAGATCAAACCTCAATTATTGATCATAAGATTGTGAAGATCTAAGGCCTAGATTCAGTATACTGCTGTTTAACAGAGGTTCATTGCTCACTCATATGGGTAAGTTCTTTAACACATCTTTCGGTGAGTTTGTCTTTCTTTGATTTTTTGGACGAGAGGCTATGGTTACGGGTAATTGCCATAGTAGCCATGGTGGATTAGCGCCAACCCGAAAATCGAGCCATCACCGATGGCAGCATGGGCCATTTTGTCAAAACCAAAATTAAAAATTCAATTTGCTTTAAATAATATAGAAATGAAAGTTGATCATATTCTATCATAATAGATCCATTTTAGACTAGGGGTTGTTTGGCAGTTGCTGAATGGTTTGATGCAGAATGATTAAGTGGTCAGAATGATTAAGAGACTCTTATAATATAGTGCAAAATGAAATATAATTGTTTGGTAATTATTCAGAATGAAATTAGAGTGCTGAATGGTTAAGGGTTGCATAAGATACAAAACCATTCATATGGTTTTAGAACCATTAAGAGACCGACTTTTTTTTGCCAAACAATAATCATCTCTTAACGATTCAGAGACTGTCTCTTAATGGAACCATTAAGAGGCAAACAAACAACCCTGACAATTAAACTAGAATATCATTAGCTAGTACCTTTTTCTGCTCAAAATTATATGAATTGTTAAACTAAAAATTTATAACCTCCTTGAACTTGCACATAGTACAACTTGAAAAATTATGGTGTTATATATATATATATATAAAGAATGTTGATCATGCTTGATTTTGGAGGTCCAACCATTCATCGGTTGTTCTGAAGTGCAGATTTGAATATATTGTTTCAGGAACTATTACAAGTGCACTTCAGCCGGATGTCCGGTTCGGAAACACATTGAGATGGCGGTTGATGGTTCGTCGGAGGTAATACTAACGTACAAGGGAGTACATGATCACGACATGCCAATACGCACAAAAGACCAAGGATCACCTAGCGGTCTTCTTCTCACAGCCGTCTCTTCAACTTCCAAAAACAGTTCACAATCAAAGAAAGGCGAAACCTCACCAGTTTCTACAACCGAACCACCAATTGGTGAAACCGAGAAGACCACCGATGAGTCAAGTCGAACCCTGGCTAGTTTCAAGACCATACCCTGCTGAAACCTCATGTGTTCCTATGCAAAAAAGATAAGTGGTTCCTTGCTTTCACAAGTTAACTTTAGTTACTACTGGTTTATTTAAGACATTACCTTCTCTAATTAAATAAATCCCGAGGTAGATTTAGTGGGTTTTGTTTGATTAATTTAGGGTTTAAATTGTAGTTTATAACTTTTATAAGTAGACAAATCCGCTCGTGTCGTATAGTGTACACTTAATTTGGAACACGTCCGAAGTCTTTTTAAGTGGAATTACCGAGCTTAGAGATGCATTAAATCATATAAAGTCTTCTAATCATTTTACACCAAATCATTTAGGATACGTCGTCTTAGACAACTTGGAAATTGATCACTTGTTCTTGTTCTTTTTTGTCAACCGTGGGTGTCCAGGTCAGCTTGAGCGCACCTCGATTAATCCCAAGGCCCCCGGAGAACAGACAGAAAAAAAATCCCTGGTGGCCTTGCATATCTCGAACTAGTGACCCTTGTTATATTGATCCTTGACGGGGCCATGTCCCAAAATGGCTATGATCTTAACTTTTGACATCTTTGGTATTGATTGATGTCTTTTACCCCATTCGAACAACCATGATCGATTAGTTTTAATCATTTTGACATTGTGTGAATTGTTGTTCCACTGCTTTTTGGCGTGTTCGGACGACATCGTGGTCTTGATTTTTTTAACCTTACAAACCGATTTTGTATTCCTTGCACACATTTGACATTAATCTGAGACACCAAAAAAAATTCTTGTAGGACATCTCTAATGGGTAATATCAAATCTTATATCGGATCTACAAAAATTGCAGTAAAATTTGGTACCACTCATATGGATAAAATCAAATCCGACACCAAAATATAAAATCCTACGTATATTTCTTTTCATTTTTCCCAATTGGTGTAATTTGGTGCAAGCGAATAATGTTGCATAAAATTTGGTGTCCGCATTATAGCGGTTTGCTTAAATTTGGTGTAAAATTTTGTGTCTATTAGTATTATAGTGATGGCCAAACAGGTCCGGGACCGACCAGGACCAGTAAGGATCGGTTATGGGACCGCCGGTTAAATCTGGTTATGGGTTTTGTCGGTTTTGTGGGACCGGGCCCGGTTAACGACCGGCCAAGCCCAACCCGAAATGTATGTATAATAAATGTATTTATAATAAATTTTTGAAAGACAATGTAATTTTAATTATAATCAAATATATTTTTAAAGTGTATTTGAGTGAATCAGTTACAAATTTTACAATATATTAAAAATATATATTATTAAAAAAAATTAAAAATTTTTTTAATGGGCAGGACCGGTTGGGTCTGGGTCCGGTGGCTAAGGACCGGTTGTGAAGAACCTTGATCAGTCTTACTATTTTCGATTGGGACCGGTTATGAAAAAAATTTGGGACCGGTTGGGCCCGTCCCGGGACCGGTTTTTGGCCATCGCTAGGGGTGTACACGGGTTGGGTTGGGCGGTTTACAACATTTTTACAACCCAACCCAATTATGATGGTTTGGAAAAATCTCAACCCAACACAACTCATTCAAACGTATAACCCAACCCAACCCTTGCGGGTTGAGGCAGGTTGGGTTGGATTGGCGGGTTAGTAGTTGCATAATTTGACAACTGAAATAATTCATAAAACTTAAGTTTATAAACCATATTATAAAGTGTTTTATATAAAAAGATTACAATAGGTTTATAGGACGTTTTTAGACGTTTCAACAAGTTTTAGAATAATCTATAAATAAAATGTCGTATTAGTTATTTTATAGAAATATTTTGAGAAGTGTCTCGTAAACTCATCTATTTATAGGACACCTATGTTCATATGACATTTTTTCAAGTCATGTCGTATAAAATAACTAATACGACAATTTATTTAAAAGTGTCATAGAATTTGTTAAGATGCCCAAAATCATCCTATAAACATATTGTAACCCATTTAAATAAGACATTTTTCTTGTTTTGTCCTATAAAGTATCATATTAGTACGCTTAGATATTATAGGCATCCTATAAGATCTAATGTTGTTGTAGCAAAATGTTGTAAATAAACATTTTCTTTCCACTAAAGTACAACATAAAATGACGGAGTATTTATATTGATGGATTCGTCAACCAAATATCTATCAATATCATTCATATTCTCCGACCTATCAATTTGTTGTTACTGCAAAAAAGATTTCAATATTTTTTCTTATTAATTAGATTATTTGTCATCATTCTTTGATCGTGAATCTTTTTTGGTAACCTATACGTTTAGCTAAAATGAAATACAAACATAATATCAATAAAAATTATATAAAATTTTATACATTATTAATATAGGTGGAGGTTCAAACGAGAACCCCTGTGATTTACGAAAATACGAGAACAACTCAATAACCACAAACTTTTTTAATTAATAAATTAACTTTTATTATATATAAATAATTTAATAAGGGCAGTAATGTAATTAAGTAATTTTTATAATTTTTATTTTATTTTAATTAACCATGTTTATCTTCACGTTTCCACGTCTTCTT